CAAATTAGTATGCAATTGATATATAAAATTAGTATGAAACTCGAAGATTTTACATTACCTTTCTAACATCCCTTTGTGAACCCGTTCCGCCTCGTGCACCCCCTTTACTGCTTTGTCTATGAATATTAGTCCTAGGCCTTCCTGGTGGTCTGACATCTTTCAATGGTGCATCTTTTTTTTCATTCTTGCATGATCTACTGTTATGACCTGCTTCATTACAATTGATACATGTCATTCTTCTTCCTTGTCTTCCAATCTGTCCTGTTGAAGTCAATAATTTTTCCACTGCATCCCTTCTTCTTTTAAGTTTTGGCCTTCCAGCCAATCTTCTTGGCAACGGCGGCAAGGGGCTGATATGATTGGTTTTCGGCCACATTTTGATTTCGTTTAAAGGTCTTAAATAATGACAAGCACAAACAAGAAAATTGGCTTTCCCAGTACTCCTAGATCGCTAATACCATATTACAATTAGGATTCAAAGGCCTGACTCAGTAGGATAGCATATCAGATATATAGATATAGTCTTCAAATCAGCAAACTAATCACAATGCAGAACTAATTCTGAATCACAATGCAGAACTAATTCTGAATCTAACACAACTGGGATTCTAATACTAACCATTTGAGAACTTAATTTTGAATTGTCAAGATTATAACTCGGTATCAAACTGTTTCCAAATGAGTACAGACAAGAATGGTTGCTCATCGTCATTCTTAAGTACATTAATAAAGAAACATTTGACTCATAATGGGAAAAAATCAATTTTTTCAGATTTCTAATAGGTAGTAGCCTAGTAGGTATAACATGTTGAAAAGGAGTTTGCATTAAGCTAACAGTATTTGAAATTAAAGTATTAAACACAAAACAGTTGCACAGAAAAAGCAGACAATTTTGGTTAAGCAGGAAAAATATCTAACACATACTCTGAAAATAGTTTTAAAAACCATAACGCTGACTTCCAGCCTATTATACTTGAACAACAAATTGGCAAGGCAGTTCGAACTCTGGGATGGTAACACCAACATTCCAAGTCACTCAACACATGTATAACATAGTTTGAGGTATCTATTCAAATACGAAAATTAGAGAAAATTGAACATTACAAGCATGTATATGGGAAAAACTATCATCATCAATTACTCTAGATTAGGCACGAGACTCTTTTTAAGTCATTAGGCACCCGACTCCCTTAGATTACGTCTACTTAATTAATTCTACATTTACGATAAAAGCCGCGGATAAAATATATTTGTACCTTTCAAGGTTGAACATACTCATAAGGGAAGGCAAAAACACATTTTTAATGCTCAAAGACAATATAATAGTATGTTATAACTAACCTCTTACTTCTAAAGATACATCAGACCCTGATGAACATTTTCAATATGATAGAAGAGCAATAAGATTAGCAAGAAAATACAATATCCGSGTGCAGGGCAAGTCAGACCTGTTGCTTGGTACCTGYTTTGTATCATTAATTACGTTACACAGGAATTTAGAATAMTAGTAAATTAAGGCATAAGGATGAGTGCGCCCTGTTACTGAATCCATTTGAGAGCATAAAATGAGAGACATCATACGGTTATTTCACTTAAGTGGGTAAAGGTGATCCCTAAACCTGTACTGAAGGCACATCCAATGTGCTCGGTTTTGGAACCCAATATGTTGGGGCAGAGGATGCCACCTGCTGGTTGGTTGGAGCAGAATACACGCTGGTAATAGCAGGAACAGGACAACCCATTGTCTGTGCCAGGAGCACAACAAACCTCTATTTGGCTGTAATAGTCTGCCCATTGTCTGTGCTCTTGCTGATATTGGAGAGGTATTGCAGCAGCATTGTAACAATATTGATTAAACCCAAATTTCGATCTAAATTTGCAAAATAGTTGCCAATTTAGAACCTTAACACCTAATTAACACACATAAACATAAACACAAACACTTTATATGCACATTAATATGAATCATTTGTTTCTAAGTGAATCCTATTTTTCTCTGCCTCTTTTCTTGAGATTTCATCTCTAATCACAGAGAGACAAACAGAAAGTATCGAATCATAACTACAGTCCGCATCCATTTCAATGACATCAGAACTACATAGTTGGAATCATAATCACAGAGAGACAAACAGAAAGTATTGAATCCAACCTACCCATCATGCTACACCATTAAGGCAAACATATACGGCAAACAGACATGGATTCTCATGACACAAGCTATGAAACAGAAAATGTAAAACATATAGAACTTACCTGTTGGAACAGGATGCACGATGAGGAAGTCGATGAGATTGAGTCGATTAGGGTTTAGATTTGATCAGGAAGAAGATGATGAGAGTCGATTAGGCCAAAGAGGAACACGATGTGTGCGATTGAGGGATTGAGGGTTTGTGGGTGAATGAACAGTCATCAAGAAGAGGAAGAGAATGAACGGTCTAAACAATGAGAGGGATGAAGGTTTTTCATTTTCAAAAATTGTTTTTTACATTAATTTTTTTTAAATGACAAGTAGGATATCTATGTGTAACATGTTATCCTACATGGTTTCCATGTCATTTTAAATTTGCCACGTCAACAAAGAAAAACATGTTCAAAAGGTAACAGGTTACCCAATGCTATAATGGGTAAATTTTTGAAAGTACAATACCCTAATAAAAAATATTTTGAAAGTACATTGCTGTAATAAGAAAAACTGAAAGTAAAATGCTATAATAAGGAAATTTGTGAAAGTAGGTTGCTATTTTGTGCATTTTGCCCAAATACATAATTAATTAAAATTCGTCGATAGCATTCATTTGTATATATATGAATAAATTATTTATATTTAATTGATGACTAATTTGACCACCATTAGAAACTCTAACACAGAAACATATTAATAAGTGTGAAAGACCGTGCATGAATCTTGTCGATGATATTATTTCACCAATGGATTAGCCACAGAAACATGTTAATAACTATATATATATGCTTTATGTATACTAAAATAGTACTCGCAAAATGCAGCAAGACACATCTCGATTTTAATGTTCTATTTTATTATTTGTTTCTATCGATGTTATAATACGATTTTATGTGTTTTTAAGAAAAAAATAATGATTTTATTTTTGAATAAAATATAAATTTGAAGATATCATTAAAATTTGAAAAAAATATATCAATGTTAATATCAAATCAACTATTTACAAATTCTCATTTTATGTAATTTTATTTATTTATTTATTTTATTATAATTTAATTTAAATTCAATAACAAAATAATTTATTTTTTGTTTAATAATATAACATTTTATAAAGATAATAATTAAATATTCTGTTATAATTTAATGATTATCCTAATTATATTTTAGATTTTTTATATTTAAAATAAATGTTTATTCTGTATTTAATTATGTTTATCTACAATTAGTTACACAAATTTAAAAATGAAGTTTTAATAAGTTGTACTTATGCAAAATCATTTGTAATCTTGAATTTTAAGTAATATATATTAATAAACAATACTTTACGTATAAAAAGTGGTTTTTAATTTTTTTTGTCAAATGATTTATAATATAATATATATATATATATATATATATATATATATATATAAAGACTTTTAGGCAAAAATTCTAATTCTTGAGTAATAATATGAACATATATTTTTTAATTTTGACGTAAAAAAACTTTTTAACATAAATGCTGTAAAAAATAAGTTATGAAAATGAATCATAATTGGCAGGTAAACAAAACCAAAATACAAATTGCAGCGAAACCCTCGTCGATCTCCATTGTTGCCCACCAATTCTTCCTCCAACAATGGCCGACTGGTAGACCCCTCTCCAATTCCCTTCTGCTCAATTTTCACTCTCACACAAGAAGATGGGAAGCAGTAGCAGCGACGTTGAAGCAGGATTCGCCAAGCTCCAAGGCGAAGACTTCGAATACTATATGCAAACCTACTCCATCATCCTCGGACGCAACTCCAAGAAATCCACCGTCGACGTCGATCTCTCTTCCCTCGGCGGTGGCATGAACATCTCCCGTCACCACGCCCGCATTTTCTACGATTTCCAACGTCGTCGTTTTGCCCTAGAAATCCTCGGGAAAAACGGTTGTTTCGTCGAAGGCGTTCTTCATCTCCCTGGCACACCACCTGTAAAGCTGGATTCTCAAGATCTTCTTCAAATCGGTGATAAGGAGTTCTACTTTCTGTTACCCGTTAGAAGCATCCTTGGTGGTCCAATTGGGCCACCGCGTCACCACGTTTCAAACCCTAATTCCGTGACTAGTTACCCGTCTCCTCATCTCATGGCTTTGCCTCCTTCTGGTAGGGTTTCTGGCGGGAAGAAGAGTGGAAGGGGGAGGGTTGTGACTGATTTTGAAGATGCTTATGAAGATGATGAGATGGATGATAGTGGAGTGACTGGGACGAAGAAGATAAGGAGAGGTGCCGGAGATGGGCTCGATGCTTATGCATCATATGGTGCTCCGTCGGGTTCCGGTGGGAAATCACATTCTGGTTAGTAATTCTATATTTTCTTTCGTGTTTTTGGGTGAACAATTGGTGTAACAGTATATGTTCACAGATGGGAAACTAAAGTAAATGTAAATATGAAAATAAAAAGTGATCATAATGTGATAATTAATTCAATTATCAACAAGCCAGTATGAAATTAACCAATTAGAAACCACATTACATTAAAGGGTATCAAGAGGAGGGTAGAAAGTAGGCAAATAGGCTCCTTGTGTGGGATAGTTTGGTCTGATAGGACCACATTTTGCTTAAGTTTCTAGTTTGCTATATTCATTAGTTTATACTTGTATTACATGTTTTATCTGATTACATTGTCTGCTTGCACACCATTGGATCATTATTTAACCTGTTCCCTCCATTACCTGTCATATTACCTATCTTATTGCATGCTTGCACACACCTTTGCTTCGTTCAGAAGCAGGGGGCTTAAAGGAAACAGCCTCTCGATTCTAGTGGTTGAGGTGAGGTCTGATTGCATCCTACCCCTCCCAACTCTACTTTCAAGTCAGATGTACTGGGCTCATTTGGTTTGGATAAAGCCATGTATCATTGAGATGGTGTGCCTGCCTTTCTCATGCCTGATATACAGCCTATGGCCAAAGCTTAAATAAAGGGTGCACAAAAGTTTGCATGAATATTGATCATTCAATCGAATTATATTCGTCTTAACTTTCAAGTACAAGTTCTCTTACCCATATCAGTATGCTAGTTGGTATTCATTCTTTACGTCATTGGGAGAATAACATTTGTTAGGTCATTGTAATATCGTCTGTCGGGTAAAAGGGATTTTGGTCACTGAACTATTGAAGTTGTTTATTTAGCCGCTCTCCTTATATTCTGACCATCTCTTGCCCACAAGTTCCATTTTCTTTTAAAAAATGGAAAGTGATTTCCCCGGCGTGTGACATGTCCTATAGAAGTGATATTATGCTGGTGCTCATTAAGGAGAAATGTGATGTACCCCGTGAAATTGGATGGAATTGCAAAACCAATCTAATGATTAATGGCGAGTGGTCACATTTAGGGTTTCTGGCTTTCGAGAGGCCAGAATCTCTCCACAGACTCAAGTCCAAGGGTTTACAAAACAGAATACCTTCTTCTAGACCCTCTCACATCTATTTATACAATACCCATGCATTACTAACTTGTACCATTTAGGCATTAACTACTTGTACTTAGTTTCCCAGATTACTAACCCTTAGGGTATAACAAAATATGACCCAGAACATGAATATTGTGAGCTGAAACTAAGATTAATGAGCGAAATCCAAAAAGTTGTTGGAACACAAGATACAATGGCCAAGTAAATAAATTTAATAGTAGCGTGGTCTAAGATGATTTTACTAAATAGTGCAGGGGCCAAACAAATATTTTTCCCCGGTCGTTGATGGAGGTTGTGAAGACTGAATATTAAGCATCTTAATTCGACACCTGACCGTAATACCTGCCTCTATTAGCCTCTAAAGTCCACAATGAGCATGGTTTTCCCTCCCTTATCAACTTTCTGAAGTTCGTTCCACTTCTTTCATGATCTTTTGCATGAAAATATGAGGAATCGAGACTTGAACATATCTGCTATTGACCAATGTTCTTTAACTCCCATTCTTATAAAAACAATTTTCTGCATTGGCTGTTGCTGAAGAACGATTTAGCTGTCTATTTGAGTTTTTTTTTGTGCTCCTGCTTTGGAATTGTTTGAGCAAATTTCTCTATGGTCTGTGCTGAGTGCCTGAGTTCCATATTGTTTGAAGTACTTTGTACCAAAACTATGTCAGTTTCGGGATTCAGCTTCCTCTGGATCAAACTATTTTCTTTTGAGGAGATGCAATACATGAATTAAGTTCTATTTTTCATTGGGTTTGTTGAAGGCGGACATGATCTACCTCTTCAATTGATCTTTGGTGCTCAAGTCCTTTATCCTTCAGTAAAACCAAACCAAACGCCCCCAATATGTCTCCCTTGGAGGTGGGGTTTGGGGGTAGGATGTATGCAGACCTGACCTCTAGCCTGGACAGTAGAGTGTCTGTTTCCATAAAGTCCCCCCTGGCTTGAGAAAAGAGTATCTTTCAGTATGGCTAGTTTATTGGAAGGAAAAACAAATGGCTTTTCAAATGCAATTAGCAACGAATTAGAGTATCCGAGACAACTATGATTGCATATTTGCATGTGATTCCACACCTTTTAGCATGGCTGCTTTAGTAAGTCCTGTTGAGCTGCTATCATGTAGAATACCTTGCAGACCTTGATTGTAATCAGTAACCCTTCTACCGATATCTATTGCATATCTTATGTGCCATTCTGATTCCGAAATGTGTATCTTGTTCCACCAGGGTTGTGTGTTATCTGTAGTTGTATCTGACTTATAGCACATACTCTTGGTATGTGGTGCATGGGGGTCTTCACAGGAACAACTGCTCTACTCTTGAAGAAGAGGTTAGCTCTGCGCACATCTTAACCTTCCTGGAACCCACCTCTGGGTGGGATATACTAGGCTTCTTTGGTTTGGTTTACTCCTGGTATGTGGTGCTACACGGGGTTGACGTATCAATATTTTTCCCATTACTTAGGAAAGCAGCTAAATGAATGGTGTGTTCCTCTTCTAGCTATTATGAGGTTTATTAAATCAGGGGATAATGCCTGTGGTTATAGCCAATGTTCTAAATGACGTGAGGCGTGATGTGGTGGCGAGGTCAAGCCTCAAGCTTTACGAGTTAAGGCGAGGCCACAACGTTTTTCAAGGCGGCATACACACACACACACACACACACTTGTATTTGTTAGTATTTTGAATGATACCGTACGAAGAACAAATAAAATTCATATAAAGTAAAAAACTAAAAAAGAAAGAAGAACCATTGATACCAAATATATAGAGCTTATAAAAGATGATATCAAGAGTGAAAAATCGGGATTAAATCTTTTGAATCTCTATCATCACTTCCTTCAATTTCCAAAGAATTCATGTTCGACTCTTCGTATACAGGAATGGGAGTAAGTATTTACCTATTTAAGGTTTTAGTTTTTAAGCTTACTTTTTATGTTTCTTTAAGTCTTAGGTCCCATACGTAATTATTATTTCTGTCAAGTTATATATTAAAAATAACTCCATACCTTGCAAAATAACGCATCGTAACATGGCATGATGCATTGTAACGTGGCATAATGTGTTGTAACGCTCCATAAAGTGTTACAATGCAAGCCAAGCCTTAGAATGGAGCCATAGGGGTTAACGTGGCAGCAAAGCCAAGCCTTGACATCATAACGAGTTATTTGGAATTATGGTGATAGCATGCATTCAACATCCATTATGGTTTCTTTTGTTGTCATGGTTATGATTTAGTCGTCTTTGTATACTTCAGATTCTTGTGATTGGATATAAATAGTTACTTAAGCACATGCCTCTACTGGTGTCTTCAATACTTGCTCTTTTTCTCTCTTGTTATTGTAGATAAGAAGTCCGAGGGAAGATCAAGAGTTGACAGAGATTCTGACAACCAGCAGCTGTTACAATTAGAAGAGAAAGACGTGGTGTCGTCTGTAGCTACTGTGCTATCTGACCTTTGTGGTCCTGGGGAATGGATGCCAATGGAGAAACTTCATTCTGAGGTAAGATTCGAGCAATAAGCATATCCTCGTAGTCTTAACGTTTTTGGCTTTCTGCCAATCCTATATGAGGTGGATTTCCTTTACTTAATTATTAGATATGGTCGAGTCTATCCAACCAGTATCTGCATGCATATATTTGGCATCAAATAAGCGTTTGCTCTTTCGTTAGAGAGGAACTGTCATCTTAGGGGCCGTTTACCCAACTCTTACCCGGTAAGATTCAGCACTTCTACTTAACTTACCGGGTAAGATTTTGAGCTATTAAAACGATAGCGTATACAACATTTTTATCCGATAAGCTCTTACCGGGTAAGAGTCCTTACTCTCACTCACTGGGTAAAAGTCTCGGTCCTTATCATCGCTCTTATCTGGTAAGATTCTCAATTTGTGCCATGTTCATCCGATAAGGTAAAGACGTAACGTTACCAGGTAAGCATTTACTGGGTAAGCGTTCTAATAAACGGCTCTTTAGATTTAGAAATCGGTCATGTGTGTCAGCAGAGAATCACCCATAGGGTGTGTTTGCTACACAGAACAGGACATTAAAGTACAAAAATTTGTTGTCCCATGTTTAGCTCGACAACATTAGATTGGGACAGGCCAAGACCTGAGTAGGGCAAAAATGTTTTTTTTCCTAGTGCTACCAAAATAGGTGGAACAAAAACCAGGGAGACGAGACAAGATTGATAAGTTACTAAACTACCCATCCCGAAACTAAACCCTAAAACCTTCAAAAATTCTTTCACCTACCTCACTCCCACTCTTCTAGTCCTGTCCACTTACCAAACGCACCAGCACCCATAGTGTGAGTACAATAGTAGATAAAATGTATGTAGAACAAGTTTAACGCTAAACTAGTAATCTATAATGTTTTGATACTCGTATGATGGTCCCCTGTGATAGACACAAAAAGATCAAGTTCACATAAAGCTTGCGATATGGTATAGATGTTCTTTAACCGTAAATGCTTGCTAGAAATAACAAATTTAAAAGGAGAAGATGTACAGTTACATCGGGATCCCTTTATACCAATTATTCAACATCTGATGACTGGTACATAACAAAGGTGGGTTCAACATGTGTACAAGTTCAGCTCCGTCCCTGCTAGCTATGAGCCGTAGCTAGAATTACTCCCTCCGTCCCAAATTAAATGTCCATGTGAAAACGCCATGGTTTTAGCTATGTGTAATCATAGCACTTTTTAGTTAAATAAATGACAATTTTACCCTTAATAACGTAAGGAGTAAGGAATTTCTTCATCTCATAATTGAGGGTAGAATTGGAAAGTAGACACTTCACACTTACCGAGCTTAATGGGACTTGCGTACAATTTTACCCTTAATAACATAAGGAGTAAGGAATTTCTTCATCTCATAATTGAGGATAGAATTGGAAAGTAGACACTTCACACTTACCGAGCTTAATGGGACTTGCGTCTTCTGTCATCTATAGATGACTGTTTGGTAGTGGCTTAATAATATATGAAGTGGCTTATTCAGTAAGTTTCTGGGGGGAGCTTTATGCAGAAAGCCAAGTTTTTTTTTACATACTTGTCCCTCCCATTTAAGAAACATGCTTATTCCCATCAGCGAAAAAACCCTCTCAAACAAAAATCTTCCCAATCTATATAGACAGATTAAACTACATTGACAACTTTATCCATACAAAACTTAATGGAAAACCAACCAAACAGCCCTTAATGCACTAATGCACCCGGAATGCATCGGATCCCACTAAAACCCCGTAGTTAAGTGGGGTTTGCTACCTCTGTTTGGTTTGGTTTGGTACTTTGGTTTGGTTTATGTGGTAGTTCCACCTTGCGTATTTTGGCCCTTGGAATTCTATATGTGGTTTTACTTTTTATAAACTCGATTATGTTTGTTATTATATAAATGATTGTTGTTAGATGGTTGACTTTTCTTAACGACTTGATGGGGGGTGGTGCAGTTGGTGGAACAATATGGGAGTGTGTGGCACCATAGTCGTGTTAGGCGGTATCTAAGCTCAGATGACAATTCCGGTCCCGAAGCTCAGGGAAAACCATGGTTCGGGCTGCTTATGTTGTTGAGGAAATACCCTGAACATTTTGTGATAAACACAAGGTCCAGAGGCCGCGTTACGTTGGAGTTTGTCTCGCTCGTCTCCCTCCTTTCATGATTGAAACCTACCTTGTATTTAGGCAATCAATGATGTGTAAACTAGTGATGGAAGTTGGTCTTTTGTTTAGAGTTTGATTATAATAGCTAATATGGGATCTTTTTAGTGCATTGCCTCTTTATGTTTCTTGAGTTCGTGGTTGTATTTTGTTCTTCATCTTTTGCTCATTTGGGTTTGCTTCAATTGTTTCAAAATCTAGGGCAAGTTGTCGGAATCAGGGTGTTAACGAGCCGAGTAGCTGGTTGTTTGTGTTAGGTTCAAGTACCTTTTTCAAGTAGTGCTCGAGCTTGAACTCGATGTTCGTTTACGAATTTGAGTTATATATTATACCTAAAATTCAAAGTATAAAAAACTCGTTTATGGGCTTGAAATCGAAATCGATTAGCTTGTTTCATTGGCTTGGGTTTGATGTTTTTTAAAATTTTGTTGTATATTCTATGAGCATATGAACATGTTTGGTTTGAAAAAGTGTATGCTTGAATAACTTGGTTAGATTTGAAAAATCTAATCGAGTTTTTGAATGAGCTGAGTCGAGCATTGGTATGATGGAGCTTGACGTTAAATTAAACGAGTTCTATTTTGTGTTTCAGATCGAATCGAGCTTGAGTAGAATTAAACTCGAGCTTGAGTAACTTATTAAAAACTCGAAGCTTTCAACACCACCAAGGTACTCGATTCGGGTCAAACCCAACATATGAAGTCAAATAAATTAATTAATTGGAGGCTAAAAATAAACTTGGAAGGGTTAACATAAATACCAAATCGAACAGACCCAGTAAGTTTCACTTAGAGGTACGTCTATAAGGGTGTGTTTGGTACATTCGACAGAATATAGATATATGTTTTCATGTGGAACAAACAGAAATAAAATGAAACAGACATATCCCATGAAACAAAGTGGAACACACCTACATTTACTAATATACCTTCAAAATAGAATCTAATTCCTTGTTCTTTTTTACATTTTATTTATTATTTAAATTTTATTTGTTGTATTTTATTCTCTTTAGACTTTCACTTTACTCTTCTCAAAATTCCATTTTTATACATTTTATATATTTTAGTTAATTTATGTAATTTATTAAATATTAATAATAAAAACATAATATAGAAAATATGTAAAATAAAAATTGAAAAAAGTACAAGGGTGATGTTTGATTGGTTTGAGCTTGACTCCTAAAATCCTCTTATAGCCATGGAGGTTCAAACAGAGAAGTAAAACAAAAGGTTTAAAAAAGATAAAAAATTTATGAATGTGATTTTAAGTATTTTTCATTTTATGAATACGAAATATTTAGGATTTTTTGATTTTGAGCTTTTTAATTATTATTTACATCAGATGTTTTTGTATTTTTTAAATATTATTTGTTAATTTTCATTTAGATTGATCATTTAATAAAAAAAACAGTAAACAAGTCATTAGAGATAAACTTTTACCAATCCAATCCTCTTATGTTCAGTTATATCTTACCAAACGTTAAACTGTCATGTTTTATAGTATCAAATGTAACCTGTAAAATGTATAGAGACTTGACCTCTCTTTTGAATTAGAGGAGCAAAATATGAATAAACAAAGCATAAAGAAGTTGAAATCATGGATGGCAGATATGGTGTAAGTAACATTTTGTGACTTTATATGATTTGATCATATAATTTTGTGATAGGGCACCAGAGGGGATTTGAATATGTGATTTCCAACCTCAAATACCATTCAATAACATTTGAGCATTATAACCTAAGAATTGCTAAAAATGGCTAAATTTATGATTAATAGTAATAACTAAAAAAAACCCGACGAATGCGAGCTTTAAGAGGCCGATGTCTCCGCATCATCAGAAGCCGAGAAGCTGTTTCCTCCTCGATCCACCTTCGCTTTCCGCTCACCGTTGTTCTGTGACGGATGCTCGAACTTCATCCGCGAAGTCACCCTTCTCTGATGTTCTGAGAAAAAAATATATAGCGAATAATTTTTGAATTATCAAGAATCATAAACCATCGTCGTTCTTGTAAGAATACAAAAAAAAAAGTAATAGAAAATGCAGTTTGCAAATTGAGCAAAAAAAGGCCAATTCGGTGGACCCGTTAACACCAAAAATGATCCAATCTCCAACCACACGGTATTTATGCCGTCTGAACAGGAAATATTTCATTCCCATCTCCGGCAAAATGCTGTTCTTTTTGCCTGCCGGTTGGAGTTTCCAAACGGGCACAATGACGTTTTTACCCTAGTGACGAAGATGCCGTTAGAATCGGCAATTCGTGCAAACTAGTGTTCTTTTTGCATTTTTGTCCAGAAAAATGGTTTTTTTTTTTTTTTAAATCAAGTAAAATGGTTTAAATAGTTGATCACTCGGAAAGATACAAAGATGGGGTGAGTCGAAATACTTTTGCTGTTGATTGCAGACCGAGTCATGGTTAAGAACTCGTCCCAACTCAGTTTACTGAGTTCGTCCTTCTCCTCAACCGTAAGCTCAAAGTTGGGTTCTCTACCACACATGAAAGCGGCCCTATACAAATTGCAGAACAAAATCAGACCCACATGCCAAAAACATCAAGCAAATAAACCAAACGAATCCAACGTAAGGGGAGAGTAAGATATAAGCAGACCTAACCTCTACGTAAAAGACTAAAGCGAAAAAACATCAAGCAAATTACCAAACTAAATTAAATCAAACGAAAGGAGCAGAGGCGGACCCAAGCATTTTTCAAGTGGTGACACAATTTGACTATAAATTATGAATATAGATATGTTGGTTGGTTCTTTATCTTTACGTAGAAGAGACTCATGTTCGAGTCCGATCTACATATATTTTAAAAACACAAGAGGTATATAAAAAACACCAAAATTTAAACTAAACAAAACAAATTTGACAACTATGGGATCCGAACCTAGGCCATTTGTACATAGGCAGAAGCATTTACCATCTTAGCCATTAAAGTCTTATTAAAGTCTTGTGCTAACATTTCAGTTTCAAAAACAATACCGTGCTTTAGAAACGTAATAATTCCCCTTACGATGAAACCATGAAGAGGTGGCCTGTGCCACCCTATCGTTCCATGTGGGTCCGCCCCTAGGAAGCAGTATATCCACCTGAAGTGGAGTCTGGAGAGGATAAGATGTACATAGACCTAACCTCTATCCCAAATAATAAAGCGGCAGACATCAAGCAAATTACCAAACCAAAATTAAACAAAACTAACCCATAATATCCCACTTGAGGTGGGTCTGGGGAGGGTAAGATATATGCAGATCTGACCTCTGCTATAAAGAGTAAAACGGAAAAACATCAAGAAAATGCTTGATTGAACCATATAAACGTCCGTTTTACCTGTCGTACAACCGAGCAGCTTCTTCTTGAGAGCCAACTGTGCCTAAATGGATCTGTTTCTTGTCAACTTTAATGGCAGCTTGCCATTTCATGTTTTTGTAGTATACCCCTCTCATTATGCAAGGTTCTTGATTCTCAAAATGCTTTCTTCGGTGTCTTTTTCGCCTTTTGAACACTGAATCACATATGAATATGGTCAAAACTCAAGTCAAACTGCAATGCAAGAGAATTCAAATCGAAAATGCCATTAATACGACATTATTCAGAGGCCTCATATCGAGAGTGTTTCTGATGGGGTTCCACATATTCTCACATGGTATCAGAGCCAAGGAACTCGACATACTGGGTCAATCTATACTTGTCTAGCCCCCTCTCGACACTCTAGGACAATCTCTGCACATCTAGCCTCTATTGGAGGGGGCATGGTCCCACATGTTCTAGACTTAGGGCCTGTTTGTTAGCAGCTGAATGAGCGTAATGAGGCTCGCATCTTATTTGCCCAACTATACATGACTGTTTAGTAGTGGCTTAATGATACAAAAAGTGGCTTATTTAGTAACCTTCTAGGGGGTAGCTTTATGTATAAAGCCAAGTTTTTTCCAAACCTGTCTCTCCGATTAAAAAACACTCCTTCCATCTATGTAAAAACTCTTCCAAACAAAAACCTTCCCAATCTATTCAGACAAATTAATCCACACATACAGCTTATCCATACAGGACTTGAAGGAAAACCAACCAAACAGCCCCTTAGACCATTTCTCCTCAATATATGTTGGAACCTCCCTTCTCACTTAAAAGGGCACTTTTGAAAAGTTATCTGATGGAGTTCCAGATATTCTCACAGTAAAATTCGCGTTTTTTTTCCGAGTAAACTATTTGGCTAATCTCAGTTTGTATATTTGTCAGATCAAGGGGCAAAATTAAATGAAGCCAATTTATGATGCATATTGACTTCTGATTTTAGAAAGGATGTTTGTTTAAGCATTAAGGGTGCATATGGTAGGCGGGACCCAGGTAGGACAAAACAAAAACTTGTTGTCCCATGTTTGGTGTGACAATTAGATTGGGACTTTATAGGATTGAGTGGGACAAAAATGCATTTTTTCCGTCCCACCAAAATAGGTGGTACAAAAATCAAGGAGATGTACAAACTTGGTAAATTACCAAACTACCAATGTCAAATTAAAACCTTAAAACCTTCCACAATTCTTTCATCTCTCCTCCTCACTCACACCCGTCCAGTTACTTCAAGATTGCGAGTTTGAGTCGTTGAAAGGTTCTCTTTACAAAGTGGAAGGACTTCCCACTTAGGGCTCACGATGGTAAAGAGTCTTGGTGCATTGGGGTTGCACTTATGTTAGATTTTCCCGGTGGTTTTCTAGGACAACTAGACCACCATTGACCAGATTCTACTTATTTCAGCTAACGGAAGTCAAATATACTCATAATCTTCTTCCTTGAAGTAAAGAGTGCAAAGTGGCTACATATATTGCGGGGTTGAAACAATTAACTTGAAAATTAAAAAGAGACAGACCTGGATGCTGAATTGGCTGCTTGTTAGATGAGCTCGATTCATTGACATTTGAAGATTCGGGTTCTTCATATTTCGCTTTCTCCTGGTAAAAACATGGGGAAAATGATAAAGAGAACATAAAAAACAGAAATCTTGAAGTGCAAAAGGTAACGCATTGATAAATTCATGGTAATTTTGTTCAATGCGACAGTAAATATCTTGAATAAGATAACAAAGATGAAGGGTGGCTCAGGTCTTCAAGGGTCTTCGGCTTTGTGAGAATCAAAAAGAAAGTATTTTATGCAGTATTTTTGCATTAACAACAAAAAGAATCTTCTTTTTATGGTAATAGTGGGTGTCCGGGGCAACTTGCACGCACCTAGACTTATCACATGGGGCCTGAAGTTAACAGTCTAAAAATCTTCAATGGCCCCGAGGAGACTTGAACTGACGAGCTACAAGGAGCAGCCCAAAAGCCTAGTCTTTATTTGTCGGTTGAGCTGGCCCTCAAGGTTTTCCCCCTAAGTTAAACGACAAATATATCCTACAGATGAATGATTACCAGAGTGTTCCTTAGTTTTTTTTGGGGGGGTTCCGTGAACCTCCTATATACAAGCTATATATATATATATATATATATATATATATATAAGCATGAAAAAGATGCCGTAAAGAGTGTGTTGCTATGTTAATAATTTTCTTTTTGGATGACACGGGAACCACGCTTGTGTTTGATATGTGTGGGACAGGACAGAACAAAAACTTGTCCCACATTTGGTGCAACACTCAAACTAGGAAATTACAGTGGGACAAAAATGACCAAAATAGGTAGAACAAAAATCAGGGAGATGGGAAAGATTGGTAAATTACCAAACTACCCATGACAAATTAAAACTCTAAACCTTGCATGATTCTTTCCCACGCCTACCTCATTCTCGCCTGTCCAGTCCTGTCCCGTCTGCATACCAAACAAGCCCAACCACTTGAATTTCGTGTTCAATATTGAGCTTTAGTTTAGCAAGTTCATATGAAAAACTCAACCAGTTACTAAGATCCTATGCTTTCTGTAATGCTACCAATTGTTCATCGAGCTTAGGCCTGATTCACTTCCAGTTTTCTTTTTCAAGACAGTTTTGTAAAATTTGAGCATAAAACAACCATAGCATAATGGCAGATCACCTAAGCAGAAATTCTTTATAGGATGATGGCATTAAGATGAATATAAGTCACTTAAATCACATATAAGATTCTAAATGCAATATGAATGTAATATTATTCACTTGTGAAGAGCATCAAGCTATGGAACCCATACCTCTATAGATTGGTCAATGTCAACCGAAGGTGTTGGATGCATGCTAACTTGTCTGGTGTTCTGTGCCCAATTACCAGAAGTTTGCCCATTTTCACATGATAGAAAATCTAGAGAAGGACCTCGCCCTGAGATTAACCATCAACACATCATCAACGTTATGATCATGGAAAAAAAGAAACCAAAAAAAAAAAAAAACAAATAAGCCCATGAACAATAAACCAAACCAAACTTAACCAAACAAGCCCAGTATATCCCACCTGTAGGTGGGGTATGGGAGTGAGTTGTACCTAGACCTGACATCTGCTATCAAAAGAGTAGAGCGGTTGTTTCCGTGAAGACTTGTGCCGATCAACTATTCAACATTGTTATACACTCGGGATTCACAAGAATACCAAAAATATGGTTTTTATACATTATCAAAGTTCAATACGTGCAAATCTCTCACCCTCTACCTCTCCAACTCCCTACCTCCTATCTACACTAGCTACAAATCCTGACCCCTAAGGGTCAGGTCTACGTACATCTCACCCTCCTCGGGTGGGATATACTGGGTTTGTTTCGTTTTAAGTTTTAACCCTCGAGACATCGACATTATAACAAGAAGCACACATGTGAAGATGTACCATAAAGCTTAATCAGTCTCTGTCGACGAATGCTCACCATAGCTTCCTACAGCAAAGCTAAACAATCCAAAGAAAGAATTACAAGTCATATACAAAGAGAAAAAGGAGAAAAAACAATTACAAAACCAAACAGATAGGTACAAGAACGCAAATATCATCGGTTCCATTGCACAGGAAGATAATAAAGCAAACGCATTTCGGGATAACAACAAGAAGATTTATCGATCATTACCTAATAAAGTTTTCACATGAGCCAAGATTGTATTCTATAAACCAGGTCCTGTAACAAAAAAAACAGTTCTCTTTTGGGATTAAATTTCAATTTAGTCCTAACATGAGCCTAATTTATCAAACCCCTTTTTATACCATGTTGTCCACCCTGCATTATAGCATTGTACATCATATACAAACAAATTGTATATTATGATCTTTGCTCAATAAGGTACAATTGTTGCAGGGCTTGAAAGGGGTTTAGAGCTAGGGGTTGAGGATCTTATCCATAGTGTAAATCGGCTAAGCATTTAATCGAACACCCAGAGGTCAATTTCAAATGCACAGAAATGGAGACTATGAAAAACAATGAGTTGCAGAAGGAGAAACCCCAAGTCAACTCCACTTCATGGATGATGTTTTGAATCGCTACTATGAATTAAAATAATTGGAAGGTTATGGAAGAAAAGATAACCAAAATTTTGTATTTTGTTGGTAATTCGAATGCCCAGATTGGGAAAATGTTCGAATTGCAGAACTTAAAGAGACCAACTTAAATCAAGAAACTTAGAAAACCCAATAAACGCACAACCCCAAATAGAAGAAACATCCTGCCAACTCGAAAGAGAATCACAATCAAGAGAAAAAATCTGGAAAAAAACCCATTTGTGTTCATAAAAAATAAGTCAACCCACCAACCTACCACCTTTTATGGAAGAAAGTTCGAGAAACACAAGAAACCAAACAACAAAAACGAAGTCTTAGCCCCCTTACTTATCAATAATCAATCAAGAAACCCCCAGAAAGAAACATAGATTTAAATTAAGTAACACACGAAGAAAAGAGATGATCACATCATCTTACAAAAACCTAATGTTGATGAACAATTTCGAAAAAGCCCTTTTGGGGCGATAAGCAAAACCAGAGTGGTGGGGACAGCGAAAACAGCCATTGTAGACGAAAGTTAGAGTTTTTGTGTTGCAAATACCTGAGAAGGTGATGAAAACTGCGCATAAACCAAGAGAGAGGTCACAAAATCAACTGGGGTTTTGATCTGGATGGTAGTGAATAGGATTACAAAGGCAAGGTGGTGAGGTTGGAGAGAGAAAGTTGAGATATAGATATATCTATATAGGTATATAATAGAGAGAGAGAGAGATTAGAGAGAGAGAGAGAGAGAGAAGGGGATTGTAGTTGCTCATGCATCTACCACCTTTTGTTTTTATTTCACCTCTCATTATGTTTTGTTGTGTGGAAAAGGGGAGAGAGGGGGTCAAGGGTGGTGGTTTGATGGTAATGTTCTTGAAGAGAGAGAGAGTCTTGAATGAAGGGTAATTATGTCATTTACTTAAACAAGTTTCAAGCTTTAAAGAAGGCTGTAATACCCTTTGTTCTTGTGGGTCTTGGGTTTTCTCTGTGTCAATTTACAAGCATACCCTTGATTGGAAAGAAGGATAATTGTGTCATTTACTTAAGCAAGTTTTAAGCTTTAAAGAAGGCTATAATACCCTTTGTGTGAATTTACCAACATACCCCTTGATGGGAAAGAAGGATGATCGAGTCATTTACTTGAGCAAGGTTTAAGCTTTAAAGAAGGCTGCAAGCCTGTAATACCCTTTGTGCTTGTGGGTCTTGGGTTTTCTTTGTTTGAATTTACAACCATACCCTTGATGGGAAAGAAGGATAATTGTGTCATTTACTTAAGCAAGTTTTAAGCTTTAAAGAAGACTGTAATACCCTTTGTGTTTTTGGGTCTTGGGTTTTTTTTGTGTAATTTACCAAACTACCCTTGATGGTCTTATTTGAATTTTCTTGTTCAATTGTTCACAATTTGCCCTTGGATTTGGTCTTATTTACCAAGAAAACCCACCAAAATGTGACGTTTTTTCTTGCACATGTACATGTTTCTTATTTGCAACCAAGATTTGTGTGGATGCCATTGGCATCATCTTTCCTATTCATTCTTCTTTTGTTTTCATGTGACAATGTCAATTGTGTAGGGTTTTAATAGTAATTTGGAATATTTAATTCAGTTAAAAAAAAATTATTTTATACTGATTAAACATTTGACTGGTATAAATATAACTATACAAAATAAACTCGATTTTCTTGCCTGAATAAAAAGATTAAAAAAAATTATTAGGATTTTTTATTGAAATAATGTGCTCTAGCTTTTGGGGCCTAACTTGCTTCCAAGCAAATCAGAGTAAAATTTTAATGGGAAAAGTACAATAAAAACCAATGAACTTTCTTGTTTGGAATGATTAAGTCCTTGAACTTTTTTTTGGAACAAATAAGTCCTTGAACTTTCCAAAACATGTTAAATAAGTCATTGGACAATTTTTTAGCACAAATAAGTCCTTGGACATTCTAAAATATGTTAAATAAGTCCTTAGACATTCCAAAAAATGTTAAATAAGTTCTTGGACAATTTTTGGAACAAATAAGTCCTAAGAATCCAAAACATGTTAAATAACTTCTTAAACTTTTATAGAACATGTTGGATACATTCTCATGACTTGTACAACTAGTTAAAATGGTAATTATTTTTTTGTAAATGTAAGTACTTTTTTTTTATATTTGTTTAATTTTATAAATCTAAATACTTTTTGGTTCAAAAAATATTTAGGGGCTTAATCGTTCAAAATATGAATGTTCATTGGGTTTTTTTCGGGATTTTTTTCACTATTTTACCACTTTATTTTTTTCAAAAAGTTATTTAACATGTTTTGGATTGTTCAAGAACTTATTTGTTCCAAAAATGTTAAATAAAAAAATTGTCCAAGGACTTATTTAACATTTTTTGGAATGTCCAAGGACTTATTTGTTCCAAAAATTGTCTAAGGACTTATTTAACATATTTTGGAATGTTCAAGGACTTATTTAACATGTTTTGGAAAGTCCAAGGACTTATTTGTTCCAAAAAAAAGTTCAAGGACTTAATCATTCCAAACAAGAAAGTTCATTGGTTTTTATTGTACTTTTCCCAATTTTAATAGTTACATAAAGTTTGCCTTCTTAAATCTTAAATTACAGTATCAGATTTTCGTCATAAACTAATCAGTGTTATTAGATAAAATACTGGTTTTTGATCAAAATGATGAGTAATTTCATATATATATATAGAGAGAGAGAGAGTTTGTTTCAAATACAACCTGGTGCATTTATACAACCAATGCAACCCAATAAAATGAGATATTTATGGAAATGATGAGAGTTTATTTATTATGATTTGAATATTTATGGAATATGAATATGGTTCATTAATTATGATCAATACTTTATATTATGAAACAATCAAAACTTCTACGAAATCACATATTAATCAAATGAAATGGACAGTTGAGATTGAGTTGTATTGGTTGCACAAATGTCATGGATTGTATAATAACCAACCTCTATATATGTATGTATATATAAATGCAAAAAGGGGAAATTTGTTTGTAGTGAAAACCCAAAGAAATGGTTTAGAAGATCAATAATCATTCCTTTTGAAAGGGGAAAAAATTGATAGATGCTAAAATAGTATGAACTCCATAACACAACAATTAGGGACTTTCATACTAATTAAAGAAATTGCATTTATAAAATGTTTAAATTTTTAATTAAAATATAATTTGTCATAAAATTAAAATTATATAAAATTTATCTATTCTACCAAGAACATTCCCGTTAAGGGACGATTATTGGATAAGCGCTTACAAACAAGAGTCATCACTTTCACTTACTTTATTAGGTAACATTCTTCTTTGACAATATGTTTGATTTTTTGTTTTTTTTTTATGTTCATGTTTTAAAAAAATGTGTAAAATGGACAAAAAGTTGGTGTTTTTTTAGCAAACTAGAAAGATAGAGATACATCTTGATTTTAATATTTTATTTTATTATTTATCTCAGTTGATCTTATGTAATTTTAAAAAACCGATAATATTTTTATTTTTAAATAAAATATAAATTTGAATATATTATAAAAATTTGACAAAAATCACGACGTTCTTTTAAGATTTAGTTTTAAATTCACATATAAACAACAACCATAAAATATTTATTAAAAAAAATAAAGGGGGGTAAAATGGTCATTAGAGGATGTGGGTAGAGGGGGTAATTTAGGAATAAAAAAGGAAATGAATAAATGTAGGGTAATGTAAGAACAGCACACAACCCAAGATGACAAAAGACGCCAATTATTAATTGGGCCGTGGTTGGTTGGTTGGTACCAAGAGAAGAGAAGCAGATGGGTGCAAAGTGTAAAAAACCACCGACGAAATGCTTCATTGGTGGAGCGCCTTGCCACCTCATCAAGATCACAATTACCACCATGCCCCCTTCCCCTCACCCTTTCTATATATATACATATCACTATAATTTTACAGATTTAGTCCCTGTATTTTTTGAGTTTTTTCGTATTATTCCTCTTCTATGGGTTTCTCCTTGTCATAATATAGTGTCGTGGCTTAGGGTCGTCCGTTAGCATGTTAAATGTGAGATTTTGAACTGGGTTTTCGAAATGTTGGGGCCCAAATTTATATGTGTTTATGGTCTTTTTATCGACCATTGTAAAATTATAGCTGCAATTATTTAGGTTCAAACCATTAAGTGTTTGGTTTTAGGTTCAGATTATTAATGGTTTGAGTTTAATTTCAGATGTTTTGTTTTAGCCAATTTTTGTTCTTAACATATATTCTATGTTGTCTCATTTATGCAATGTAATCAAAAGTTTTGAATGTAACAGGGCTTCTAAAAAAATTGGAACGTCTCCGTCGGGGCTGCTAGTGTTTTCTAGAGATAAACAAAAAAGTCTACTCTGGTCATGGCTTGAAGCCCGATCATGCTGTAATTTTGAATGCACAATTGGCCCGACCTGGAAAAGCCTTACCTAAAAACTATAGATAAGTCTAATTAAACCTGAAAAAACACAAAAACGTCCGACATGAAATTTCCGATTAACCTATTTTTCAACCTCAAAGCCAAACCCAGGCTGAAATTTGAGGGTAGACTTGGCCCAAAAAATCCCAATATAAAAACCATAGATAAGTTCGGTTAAACCAAAAAATGCTTGACCTGAAATGTCCGATCAAGTTATTAAATATGAAAAAGGAAAATAATAAATAAATAATGACAAATTTAAACAAGGTTAAGTAGACATTTTTTGCAATTGTGTGAAGTGCACATGATAACACTTAAGGGAACGGGATAGACAGTCGTTGGAGTAGGGATTAGTCGTCTGACATAACGAACTGGATATCCAGGTTAATAAAAAAAATCGAAGCAAAACTTATATACTACAAGGACTTTTTTGCAATAAGAAAAAGTCAAGGGGAAAAAAAACCCATAATACCAAATCCACGAAAACCATAACTTACTATATATAATGATTTCTTAAAATTTAATAAATTCATAAAAATTTGAAAAAAAATATATCGATATTAGTATCAAATTAACCATTTAAATGTTCTCGTTTTTAATATTATTTATTTAAATCAATATTTATTACTATGATTTAATTTAAGTTTATTAACAAAATAATTTATTTTTGGTTTAATAATATCACTTTTTATAAATATAATAATTAAATATTATGTTAGATCTCAGTAATTATCCTAATTTTATTTTAGATTTTTTATATTTAAAATGAAATGTTATTCTGTATTTGATTATATTTATCTACAGTTAGTTACACGAATTCAAACATGCAATTTTAATAAGTTGTACACTTACGCACAATTTACTTATAATCTTAAATTTTAAGTACTATGCATCAATAAATAGTAATTCATTACTATATCAAATTGTTATTCATTACGGTTTCGAGTCAAGTCCTTTTTAAATATTTGATCTTGGTTTGGTTCGATCCAGTCCAATTTAAAATCATAATTATTTCAATTTATTTTCCTTGGTCCGAAACGACAAGTATATGTATTATTTAAATATAGTCAAACGAAAGGTGCAAGACTAAATCATATCCACCAATATATCGTACATGTGGCGTGTGAATTTGTTATAACATAATGATGTCAGGGGCTTAACATTCCCACACGAGCTGTGTGGGAGGGTACAGACAGTCTGGTTTGAGCATAAGACATGCAATTTAGCTGCGACAAGAGGTTTAGTTAAAATATTTGCCAACTGATTTTTGCCAGAGACGATAGGGATACTGAGAGATTTAACATTGACGCGAGATATAATAGAATGATGTTCAGGCTTAACAAACGAACCATAATTTCTAAAAGAAAAGTCACATTTAAAAACAACCTTGTTTCAGTTTTATATTTTCCAAATTAAAAAAAAAAAACACAAACATATATTATGTTCATAGTTTTATAATTTCCAATTTCATTGTTTTTCGGTTTTGACCAAATACAACCCATAAATATGTAACTAGAAAATACAGCTACATTTACTGGCACAAATTTTTTTATTTTTCTTTTATCAAAGGGTCTTTGATCTAGCGATATCGTAGTCTTTGACCTCCTAGAAGATCAGAGGTTCAAACTTCACCAAAGATGAAGAGGATGTGTGAATTTATTTGTTGTATTTGTCGTATATAAATATTATATATACTTCAAAAAAAAAACTTTTCTCAAATCTTGAAATTTCTTAAAATAACAAATGTGTTGGAAAATGCTCTCCATTTTTATTCAAACTCCGATAGTGGGGAAATATCTGACCCGAAATTTGAGCCGACCCGGATTTATGACTTCCGTTATATTGTTACGGCCACGTAAGAATCTGTGTGAGTTTAGGGTTTTAATTTTTGTGAAATTCGTGAAAATTTTCCGATACATCGGTCGGAACGACGATGATTCACGGCGTCAACTCGCCGTTGTTCCGTTACTCTCTGAGCCAGAAGGGTGGCTCATCTGATAAAAGGTATCTTTTGAACCACTGGAGATTGATATCAAGCTTTCTATTTTATGGTTTTGCTGTCAGTCAATTGTTTATGGTTTCTACATCATTTTTTTTCTTCATATGCTGGTTTGTTTTCTATTATCAAGCACAGTTTTTTGGTTTACAAGTGCGGATTATTGGATGATTCACGGTGTTTTTTTTCTTTCAAACTCATCAATTGATTGTCTTTCTATTTTGAAATTGATAAACTTATCCAGAAAAAATGGTGAAAATATCGAGTTTTAGAATAAGTGCTGCAATTAGATTCATATTCTTGTTGAATTGGGAAGAATTAAGAAATGCATATCAAATTTGCAGTTGGAAGGTCTTGAATTTGACCCCAAAATCAAACTATGTGAATTTTTTTGTGAGATGAAGGTAATTAGTTATTATGATGTTTTCATTGGTTTGTATGGAATTCTGTACTCTGTAGTTAACATTGATCTTAAATTCTGGATTAGAGTAGTTGATTCATGGATGATCACATCTATTATGTGGATTTGAATGAAAATAGTCTTAGGAACTCGGTATGTAAAGTAGAAGTAGATCATGAATAAGAAATACCAAACTTGCCCGCCCGAGATAGGGTTTCGGAAGTGTAAGATACTAAGATGAATGTAGACTTAACCTCTATCTGGGGCGGACCCAATTAAGAGCATCCAATGGCACGCGCCATCTCTTCATCATTCTGTCGTAATGGAAACAGTTACGTTTTAGGATGGTGCCAACGTATTGTTTTGTTGGGTGCCAATAATGGCACAAGTTCTTGATGGCAGAGATGGTTAGCGTGCTGCCCTTTTGTCGAAAGGGAGATTTCAGTCCCGTTTGTTACTTTTTAGCTTAAATTTTGTGTAATTTTCTATAGTTTCTGTGTTTTAATTTTTTTTCGAACACCAGGATATTGCAAGATTTGAACACGGGTACTTTTGGGGGAAGAGCAAGGAAACCAACACATCTGTAACAATTTTTGAAAGATTTCTATAGATTTGTTTTCTTGTAGTCAAATGGTGCCATTAGTTGAAAACTTTTCTACATCCTCCTCCGCCTCTACCCCAAAGAGTAGAGTTGTTGTTTCTGTGAAGACTCCCGGTTTGCGACTCATGAATAAAAAATGAGAGATGGAATAGGTGAAATTTTGCATCTGGTTCATTGCTTGTTTTCCACTCAGGGAACCGAAGGATGTGCAAGATGCTTATATGCTGCTCCATTTTGAATTCTGATGGTTTTTCTTTGTCACAACCTTGGATTTTTCCGTTACCAGATGCTGATATTTGGAGTTAGGACATTGGCTTCTTTGGTGAATCCCTATTCCCAAATGGCGTGCGCACGTGGCACACTGGCGTTGGTTGTCATCCATACAAACAATGTCGTGACAGTGGTTCCTTTGGCATGGATGCTAATGAAGACGATATTTTGTATGTTTTACATATCCAAACCGAACTAAACTATACCAATAATTCTCACACAAAGGTAGTGCCTAGGGGTTGGATGTACGCAAACCTTACCACTAACAAAAGAGTAGAGACATGTATGTTTTACATCATGGAGTAAATAGTTGTGAGCACTTCCACATTGATGCAAGTGCATGTTAGAAAGCATTTGTGTTTCTTATATGCCTTGCTTTAATTAGACCACAACTATTAGCTTGGACGCTTTGTGCCTTCCGGTGCCTGTAGGGTGCGTTTGATACGCACGGTAGGACAAAAACCTGTTGTCCCATTTTTGGTACGACATTAGACTGGGACATGACAGGACTGAATGATACAAAAATGCATGGGGAAGATTGGTAAATTACTAAATTGTATATGTTAAATTGAAGCAGTAAAACCTTCCACAATTCTTCCACCTATCTATCTCACCCTTGCCTGTCGTGTTCTAGCCCATCCAGTTGTGTCTACTATTAATCTACCCTTTCTTCAAGATTTTATTTTGTCTTCCACTTGCTTGAATAACTTGAACATATCCATAATCTGCTACTGAATGATTTTATTTGTTTGCTGCAACCTCTATGTTTTTTTATATCAAAATTTTACTTCAATGGCTTACCTCATTTGGGGTTCATACGTACATATTGCTCTACATTTTCGTATTTTATTCCGAGTTTTGTGTCTATTGATTTATTCAGAAAAACCGAAGAGCAAAGGTCCAAGGTCAAAGGTCAAAGGCCAATAGCTAACGAAAACAACCCTGTTATGACCGAGTGATGCCATTTTTGGATAAAAACACGCGAGACAAATGTTCTTTGAGTGAGATATATCTGGGTAAAGAACAAGTCCGATTACACCTCATCCTCTTGAGACTGTACCTTCAGAGTGAGATATATAGAGTGTGTTTAGTTTGGTTATTTGAGGTATATTTATCTTACTGCTGATGCATTTATGGAAGTGACATAAATCTCTGTTTTGATGTGAGAAGATGTATATGAATGGAAACTGGAAAGTATGATGGCAGAGTCTTCCATTTGGTGTATAATGCTACTACAACTTAATAGTTTATTTACAGTTTAATGAGCTTAATAGTTTGTGTGACGTATTCGTTCAGCCATACACGAGTGTTTTTATGGATTAATGGAATAAGTCAGGACCCCTCATTTGTTCTCGTTGTGTCACCTTAAACAAATTATTACCAAAAATAATTTAACCTCTTTTTGCCTCCCGTAAACCCATTGGTCTAAACAACTAAAGGTCTGTTTATTAGCAGCCTAGTGAGCTTATTGAGACCGTAGCTTATACGGTCAGTTATATATGACTGTTTGATGGTGGCTTAATGACATAGAAAATGGCTTATTCAGTAAGCTTCTAAGGGGAAGCTTTATTTAAAAAACCAAACTTTTTCCAAACTTGCTCTTCCCACTAAAAAACATGCTCATTTGTCTATGAAAAAACCATCATAAATAAAAACCTTTCTAATCTACATAGACAGACTTGTTCATACAGACAATTTTATTCATACAAGATTTAATAAGATACCAACCAAACTAAGAGCCCATTTACCAAACATTTACCTTGTAAGCGCTTACTAGTAACATTTAACACTATCATTTACTCATCGGGTAAGATTTTAGTCCACCAAAACGGTATCCCATGCAGGGATGGACCCAGAAAATTTTTCAAACGGTGGCACCATATAATTAATATAGTATAATATACATCTAAAGATAATTACAAAAACTATGGTTTTTATAGTACCGATAGGGCTGTAAACGAACCGAACGTTCAGCGAACCGTTCGACGGGAAGTTCGTTTATTTAATAAATGAACGAACATGAACTATTTTTTTGTTCGTTTAGTTAAACGAACGAATATGAACAAGAGTCTCGTTCGTTCATTTACCGTTCGTTTATGTTCGTTTATATTTGTTTGTTTATGTTCGTTTATATATTAAGTTTAATATATTATATTATATTTATTTACTTTGAATTCAAATAATATTTATTTATGTTCGTTTATGTTTGTTTAGCCCGTTCGTTTATGTTCGTTCATTTACGTTCGTTTAGCATGTTTACGAACGAACATAAATGAACACGAACACACCTTATTTCTAAACGAACGAACACGAACACAAAGATTTTCGTTCGTTTACCGTTCGTGTTCGTTCGTTTGTTCAGTTAAGTTAAACGAACGAACATGAACAAGACTCTGTTCATGTTCGTTCGGTTCGTTTACAGCCCTAAGTACCGATAAACAACTCCTAAACTTGTACCCGACGCGTCTTCATCTTTTGAAAACGGTCAATATATACCCAAAAATAATTACAAAAAGTATGGTTTTGGTTATTTGGGCTTTGTTTTGTTTGGGTTTTAGTTGCACCATTTGGATTTCAGGGAAATACGGTAGCACCTTCTAAAACGATACGGTAGCACCGTTAACAAACCTAAATTTTTTACCCTTCGGCCGCGAAATAATACGGTGGCACGTGCCACCCATACCACCACATTAGGTCTGCCCGTGATCCCATGCAACAACTTACCCGGTATGTGCTTACCGTGGTAAGAGTCATTGTTCTCACTTACCGGGTAAAATTCTTGGTCCTTGTCTCGCTCTTACCGGATAAGATTTTTGGTCCTTACAACATTCATCCGATAAAGTAATTGTATTCACTTACCGAAGTAAGCGTTTGGTAAACAGCCTCTAACCCTTAATCAATACAGAAGTTAAATGAAAAATAAAGTAAGCAACCCCTTATGTGATTTAAGATTTAGGTTGAGAAATCAGCATCAAGTCCAAAGCTTTTATTATGGCAAAGGCCCCCTTTTTTTCTGTTATTGATGGTCATATTATTTTTTAATAATAATAATGGTGGGGGTGACACTTTTTGGTCATGACTTTTACAAAGGCTATAGAATAGAATTGAATTGAATTTGTTGAAATGTCATTTCCTTGTTACATTGTAGTGGTCTGTTTCTTTTTAAATATACAACAAATATTTAAGTATAGTTTTTTATTGATGAAGTTTGAATTTCAGACCTTCTGTTAGGTTAATCTCTACCTATACTGGTTTGTCTTATTGTATTTAAGATATCGCTGATGATTTTTATTTTCATTCAGTACCAACCAAGTATCTGTTCATGAATAGAACGGTTTGTTGAACATGACTTGTCAGACTCACAGGCTTAAACAACCTTTCTAATGGGTGGGCGGGATTTTGCTCGTTAAGATTAATAGGTGGACATGAGTAATCCAAGTAAAAAAATCAGATAGATCTGCTCGATTTGTCTATCTTTTTATAATTAATAAAACATTATACTTGGTACTTTCTTAATAAAGGTTTGGGTGTTTTTTATTTGTCTTGGGAAACCGAAGTTTTACCGTTTTATTGGAAGAATGGGGTTATTATGGTTGGCGAATGATCAAATGCAAACCATGTCATTTGTATAAACTGTCAATATTTAATTTAATGAAATTGTTAAATGAAATTGTCTGATACGATGAAATTGTTTCATGTATTTTTGTTTCTATGTAAAAAAATAAAATGGTTTCATGCACTTGTTATTTTGACGAAATTTGTTTTTTTTTTTAAATTAATACAATGAAGATGATAATGTCCATAATTAACGCCCTCCACAAAAAAAAATGACTAATCAACCCTCATAATTAAAGAAACGAAAAAGGAAAATGTTTGGTTGAATGACGTTTGTCTGGTTTGTACAAATTATTTGGTTTGCATTTGATCCCTTCCCTATTATCAAAAACAACCATATGGCGAAAAGCGTTTTACCTTTTAGCCCCCTCCAAATTTTCTATTCACAAAATAGTCAAGAAATCATAAGTCAATGTCGCAAGACACTTTTCCTTAGAGTTTCCGTCATTTCCTGATGCATCGAGATGAAAAGTGGGTCCTCCGCAAAAATAGATTTAGATACCGCAACTTGCGACACCTCAAGGACATGCATCGACGCACAAAAAGCAAACCAAAGTTGCAGCTTGTGGCACCACAAAAAACATTCATAGCCTATGACAACCCAAGAAAAAATGTCCATTGATATTCACTTACAATTTCTTGATTGTTCTGTGACAAAAATTTAAAAGTGATTTATGTGGTTAATTACGATAATAACCCGGAAAATAGCTTTATGTAACTCTTGTTTTTATAAGCTTTTCTTGTTAGTTCACATGCATCTATGATTTGGATACTATTTGTAATTAAGATCGTTTTGCATCTTATTATCAGCTGACACGTATTAATGTTTAATTTGGTTGTTACAATTCGTCTTTGGTTATAAATAATTGGTTGTCACAAACGTTTCATATTTAATCATTTGTTTTACATAAACTAAAAAAGAAAATTACTTTATAGGCTCGTTAGTATGTGGTCAAGCCCTGGCTCACTTGTAAAATGAAAATTAATGATGGTCAGGGCTGGACCGGGTATGTGTCAAATTGGTCCTTATCTTGATCGCTACCAAAAGTCTTAGGACAAATCTAGGCTCGGTTATCGGCCTCGGTCTGATATTCGGGGGAAAAAAAATTATTGCACAAAATCATTATACATGTTCTTTATAATTATTATTTTTGTAATTTAGCATTAAAATACATTTTAAATAATACATAAAAAGACTTAGATTTGCCGTATCAGATCCGCTAAAAATAACATATGTAGTTATTATTTAGGGGGTGTTTGGTTTAGTCAGATGAATAAAAACAGTTTTTATTTTTTTATTTTTTTTTTCATTAATTACTGTTTAATACCTGTTACCAAACATCCCTTTATTGTATTAAAATATTAATCTATATATAATTATAAAAGTTGGATAAAATATTAATATTTAATTTATAGATATCTACTTTATTGACCTTCAAATATAGAAGACAACATTTTTTACCTCTAATTTTTAGTGTTTTAATGTTAGGTTGAAAATGAAAACACCTCAATTTTTATGTTTTAGTATTGGGTGCGAGATGTTCCAAAAAAAAAAAAAAACCAAAGGGTTGTTTGTTTATGTGAATCTTGTTTGGCAAAAAAAAAATTCGCCTTTTAATAATTCTAAAACCCTCTAAACGATTTTGTATCATAGGTCTTCATTAACCATTCAACGTCATAATTTTGTTGTACATAATTACCAAACAACTATATTTTATTTTGCACTATATCATAAAAATCTCTTAATCTTTCTATACAAAACCATTCAACAACAGTCAAACAATCCTT